TCTGCTGGGTTGCCTCGGCTTGGGAGCAGCCCATAAGTTCTGAGAACATGTCGTCCTGTGTCCTTTTCTTTCTACGCCTAACCTGCGCCAGCCTCTGGGAGTGTGATGCCAGGGTAGGTCGGGAGACAGTCACAGCTGTGGGATGGGAAAAAGGGAGTGAATTCCTCAGAAAGATAAATTTTTTGGTGAACAAAGAACATAGTCTTTCTCTGTGAACAAGACCATGCACAGCACCTATCACACTCAGGACAAGGTCGAATTTTCAGCCTTCGCATTCAGTGCCTGGGATCTTGCAGTGCAGATCAGACAAGCGCGGCCGGACAGCGGAATTTGGGTAGCAGGCTGACATGGTAAGCCGTAGACTTGTGGCAGCTTAAAACTTTAATAATAGCACCGTCCTACTTTCACGTTCAAAGCAATGCTCCTAGCGTTGGCCAGTTCCTGCTGTCTGGCAATCCGGCAAGCATGAACTCTGCCCCTGTCCCACCCCCTCGCGGCTGTCCCCGGGAAAGATCCCTGTATGCTGCCCCTCTCCCGCCTCCACCGCATGGCTGTAAACCGCCTGTTACAGTTCTGTAAAGGAACAGGCAAGCAGTCCCAATACTAACATTCCTCTAATTCAAAGCAGGTCACCATGAGCGACATCACTCTGATGAGGATTTCAGAGAGCGACAAAGAACGCATGCTTCGTGAAAGCCTGCAATGACCAGGGCCATATGCCGCCATGCTCTGCAAGGCAATGATCCCGGAGTACTTGCTGCTAGCCTGGCGCGGGAATGTTTCCTACTACGGAGGACACAATAAGGCCGCTCTCCCAAGGAACCTCATGCAAAGGCTTTCCAATTACCTCCAGGACAGCTTCATGGAGATGTCCCATGAGGATTTCAGTTCTATCCCCGGACATATAGACCGAATTTTACTGTAGCTGCACTGGCAAGGACTAAACAGTAGAGCGCCTAGGGCAAACCAATCATGATAAACCGGACATTGTTAGATTTTTTGGCAGTAGTTGCACTGCCAAAGACTAAAACTTTAAGCGCCTAGGGCAAACTAATCATGAAAAACCCACTGTTAATATTAACATTCTGTTCATAATAAATCTTTACATGTTTAAAACACTTACCGACTGATCCTTCCCCTGATTCTGGGTCCGGATTAACGCCTGGGGACGGTTGGTAGGGGATCTCGGTGAGGGTGATGAAGAGATCCTGGCTGTCTGGGAAATCAGCGTTTTAAGTGCTGTCGACTGCCTCGTCCTCCTCATCTCCTTCCTCATCTTCCCCGTCCGCTAACATCTCCGAGGAAGCGGGCGTCGACAATATCCCATCCTCAGAGTCCACGGTCAGTGGTGGGGTAGTGGTGGCGGCCGCACCTAGGATGGAATGCAATGCCTTGTAGAAACGGCATGTCTGGGGCTGGGATCCGGAGCGTCCGTTTGCCTTTTTGGTCTTCTGGTACCCTTGTCTCAGCTCCTTGATTTTCACATGGCACTGCGTTGCATCCCGGCTGTATCCTCTCTCTGTCATGGCTTTTGAGATCTTCTCGTAGATCTTTGCATTCATCTTTTCAATCGCAGCTCCGAAAGCACAGACTCATCGCCCCGCACAGCGATCAGATCCAAGACTTCCCGATCAGTCTATGCTGGGGCCCTCTTTCTATTCTGAGATTGCATGGCCATCTCTGCTGGAGAGCTCTGCATCGTTGCCAGTGCTGCTGAGCTCGCCACGATGTCCAAACAGGAAATGAAATTCAAACTGCCCAGACAGGAAAAGGAATTCAAATTTTCCCAGGGCTTTTCCTGTGTGGCTGGTCAGAGCATCCGAGCTCAGACTGCTGTCCAGAGTGTCAACAGAGTTGTGCACTGTGGGATAGCTCCCGGAGCTATTAGCTATTTCCATCCACACCTACCCTAATTTGACATGGCCATGTCGAATTTGGCGCTACTCCCCTCATTGGGGAGGAGTACAGAAGTCGAATTTAAGAGACCTCTCTGTCGAACTAAATAGCTTTGTTGTGTGGACGGATGCAGAGTTAATTTGATTTAACGCTGCTAAATTCGACATAACCTCCTAGTGTAGACCGGGCCTAAATGTCTAAGGAAAAGACCCCTCAAACTAATAAGTGTCTACAAAAGTATGTTACAAATAATACTGGGTGACTGATAAGGGATGCCTACACTCTAATTACGTTCTGTGATTAATAAGAGGTACTTGTTATAGCAAATGTTTTTTGTAATGACTGAAATTAAGGACCCAGTAAAAGATGTTTAACTCATTAAGAGCTGTCAGTTGTCACAGATGTTATTAATTATGACCAGATTAGAACTTCCTTTAGGCTTATCTATCGTGTAGTATAGTAGGTGGTAAAATATGTCTTTTCCTGTATTAATCTGACTGATAATCTTTGATTAAAATAATTCCATTTGTCGATCCCTGTTCTGAAAGACGCTTCATATTCTGAATTAAAAATAATTAATACACTGAAAAACTTGTACATGATCTAGTTTAAAAAATAGTTACACTACAATATACAAACTTCAAGTATCCAGCTGTTTAGAAGTGTCTAATACTGCCAGGTACCTTCAGTGGAATATGAGGGTCCTCAACACCTTACTACATCTATTTTCAGGTGGTCTTAATGTGCAATTTGGGATTTTAGGCAGGTTAGAGTTGTAGGCTTTTCAGATTTAAGATTGATTTTCCAGCTTGTCAGAGGAGCATGATCATGGCTTCCGAAGTGTGTCTGGCAAATAACTCAGAAATCTAACGCTGAACAAAGAACAAACAATTAGTAAAAATTATAACAATAGATTCAAGATATCTTGCTATGGCACTGGAACTCACCCCTGGCTACACAGATTGATAATGGCAGATACCTGAGATAATGGGTTTTCAACCTGGGAGCTGTAACCTTTGTCAGGTCACAAACAAGTTTCAGGGGGTTGCAACCACCTTCCCCTTCTTTATGGCTAGATGGGAAGAGGATCTTGAAAATTGTTTCTGTTTTCATATAGGATAATTGTATAGAAGAAGTTTAGAACCATTGCCTTAAAACAGCCATGATATAGCACTTAACATGAAATGCTCCAGAAAACCAATTATAACTTAAGGAAGGCCCAGCAAGTGGGAGCTGAATTCTGCAACAAGACTCTCTTGTGTCTGTGGTAAATTGGGAATCCTGCTGTAGATTCAAGTACATTTAAAAAAAAAAAAAACCCCACACACAACCAAACCTCTGAAATGTACTGAATTGAAGTGGGTAATAGGAACTTGAAATCTAGCCAATTAAAAAAAAAAAAAAAAAAGTTAAAAAGTTCTTCTCCCTGTTGCTGTCGGAAAAATCCACACAAATTGCTGGGAAAAGAGTGAAAATTAATTTACATAAAATGCTGTTCACAATACAAAGTTATTTTCCCCTTAGTCCCTTGTCAGTGTTCGAAATTAAGAAAAAAATCCAGACAGACTTTTTTCTGTTAACAAAATGCTGAGACTCTCTCTTCCCCCTCGGGTTTGTTTTTTTAAACAATGTAATCTATTTTTAAGTGTCTGTAAATTGCCTAAGCATTAGACCCACAATAGAGGTCTCCCTACAAGATGTGGAGCAAGCAGATACCGGACACAGTGTTGGTATATAATACTCTAAATGCTCTTCAGTGATTACAAAACAAACTTTACTCACTCCACATTCACACCCCAAATGTTCTATACCAGAATCCAAAGGTCAGAATGCTCCCGATGGCCAGTCGAAGATCCTTCCATCAGGATAAGCTCATAGGATGTGGGGAGCCGGCAAAAATCACATCTATATCCACACGGTAGACTGGATCAATAAACGACTCCGATTTGCAGAAAAAATAGGCATCCGTTCAGAGTCCATTCCGTCACATCATCAGGTCTTTGCCTTTGTTTATTAGGCCTTCTACCCAGACAACTCCAAAGAGACAATCCTGGGTGGGCCGCCATGATCCGTGCCATTTCCTCCAATTCTTATACAATTTTATATCAGTCCAGCTGGTGTTATTTCCTTTTCTGATGATTTTCCGTAATTTTCTCAGAGCATAAGATTGTTTTTGCACAAAGAGTTCTAATAGTTCTTGACCTTAAGTTCTGGCTTCAGCTGCTAACTTGCAACACACGCATCTATGTCACGCATACGTCATTCATACTAGGCCTCAATGACCTATAACATATTACATCGATATATGAATCACAATGTGTGTGTTTGTGTGTACACACACGCACACACACACAATTTTGGGTGCTGACTCTTCAGGACAATGTCTTCATATGAGTTTATACAGCATCTAGCATAATCCAGATCTTGACTTTGAACATTATCATAACACATACGTACGTATATATACACACACATACAAATAAATAAGCGCAGATGTCCATAGGAGCCGGATTTTGCTTGTCATGGCACATCAGCCACAGGCATACCCCGATGCACCTTGCAACAGGCCTCCAATCACAGCACTTTAGATCTTATGATTCAGGAGAGCTCCATCTACTACATTTCTCTAAAAACTCTTGTTAGAATTTATAGCAAGTTGTAATAAACTCCACTGGAAAAAAAATCAGATTATGTTTGTACCTTGCACTACTAACTTCACTGGAGATGAAGACAACTCATTTGGACTCTTTGACACAGATCCAGCGTCTTGAAGATGTGCAATCTACAGTAACAATTTTGTCACTGTTTAGGAAGGAACACTTCAGCTTTGCGTCTTCATTTTCCAATTGGATGCTAGGGAGAAGAAAAAAAGAAATAGAAATGAATCACTTCCATTCTGAAGATAAATGTTGGTGAAAAGCCAGGATCACCAATAATTTCTACAGCTCCAGATTTATGCAACTAAAGACAGAAGGAATCAGCAAACAACCTATTTTTTGCTGTTGCAGAAGTTAAATGTCTTGGTGAATTAAAAATAATCACATACAATTTCTCTCAACTCTGCTTTGACAGCAACTCATTTTCTTTCTGATTTCAGACATATGCCAATACCCCCCACCACGTTTCTAGTTACAGCTGAAAAACATACACATCATTAGTAAATAGAGATCCATCGTCCCACTGCCATCCTGTTGCTTCCTTTCTTAGCCCAATCCAGTAGTAATGGTTCTGTCTCAAGCGTTTGATGTTCTCCTGTAATTGAGAATAGCAGAAAATATTTTTCTTCATGGCCCATCCTAAACTGAACCTTCCCTCTTATGCAATTTGCTCTACACAGGACAGGAATAGAAGCTTTCACTGTTGATTTGAATAAAAAAAAAAATACTCACTCATTACCATCAAAACAATTATTCCTTTGGGGAAAAAGGGACCCCAGGCCTCAATACATGAATATACTTAAGAAAACTAGATTCCAGGCAGTTGACAAAAAGACGTGCATGAACATTTACAAAGCAGGAGTCAACCAATACCTAGTTAAGTCTCTGCATTTCCCTGTGTAAGCTGCTAATAAACTTACTATTTTTACTGGGTATCGGGTGGGGGGGAGGGAGGTGGGAGGGGGGGAAGCGTGTCAACTGTGGCAGCAAAAAAACTCACTGGATGCTATTCAATCATCCAAGAAGCCACTGTCAACATGGAATATTTCCCCCCACCACTCACTGCTATGGATCCCTGGGGGAATGACACTCCCTCACAAATCCTACTCTAGGTTCATGAGTAAGACTAAGGTTTAGTCAAGGGTATTTTTAGTAAAAGTCATAGACAGGTCACAGGCAATAAACAAAAATCCGCGGCCTGTGACTTGTCCATGACTTTTACTATAAATACCCATAACTAAACCGTAGCTGCTCTGGGGGCCAATGGCTGGTCCCTGCTCCAGCGGCAGGGGCTGACTGCCACCAGCCACCCACTACTCCGAGGCCCTGGGGCCACTGCTCAGGCAGTCCCTGGGACCAGCGGCTCTGGGATCAGCCACATTGGCCACTGCGGAAGTCCCGGAGGTCCTGGAAATTCATGGAATCTGTGACCTCCATAAAGACTCACAGAGTTATTCATTATGTATTGATTATTGGCATTATGACTTGAAGAAGTGGTATTTCAAATGAAGTAGTCTACTTATTAAAAAAGACAGCGGATTAACTTCTTTCTGTTCCTAATCTTCAATCCAAAGGAGATTTCTACTGAAATCCATTTGCTTCCTCCTTACTCTTTTCAGTATTTTATAGGGCTTGTAGATAAAAACATGTCAGCTCAACTAGGGATAAATGCAGTCTTTGAAGGCTGGCATTGTCTCTGCAGATGGAATTAAAAAGATCTATTTTGAAGGGGAAGACTTGCACAGTATGGAATTAACTTCCACCCTAATTCACAAAAAGACATGTCATTTCTATCAACAGAGAGGCTAATGAGATTGTTTCCACATAGTCACCAGTTTATTCTAAAAGTCCTCGGAAAGCCCCAGCTTCAGGTCTCTCACTACCATTCTTTCCTGCACATCTCCACAAATTCCTCTTACTTACCCTATTCAACTGCCATTATTCCTAAATTTGCATCCCATTGCCCATACTTATCTCTTGTCTGCACAATAAACTTTGATTGTCATTTTATCACCAATGCATGGGAAGGAGATAGCCACTGGGCTTTTCCATGTATTTAAGAACAGTTTTTCAGCAGGCACTCACCCTTTAAATAACAGAGAGTTTCTTGGTTGACTGATCCCGTAAACACTATTAGGTCATTTACTGCATCTCCAAAGGGCCAGTGAAGGACTATTCCCTATAGTTTATTTTCTAGTCTTTTGTCAACTCTAGTTTTGAGGTTTCCAAGCAATGGGGTTGCCATCATTTCCCTTGGGGAAAACTACTTCATATCCTATTATACCCCATACCCAAATATTCAATCTCTACTTTCTTTTTTATGTTCATTCCATTGCTATTGGCTCCACTCTGAGCCCCAACTGTCCCATAAGTCCTTGATTTCAAGTGGAATTATTCATATCCTGCAGTGGAAGAATAGGGCCCCAGCTTAGCATATTTTCTCCTCTGAATATTTGTTTCATTATTTTACTAGTGACTGTGAAGATAAATGGTCCATCCCAATTACCTATTAATCCTCTCTCTGACGTGCCACACACTGACTTTCTGAAACATTCCCCACCCGCTCTATCTCTAGAGGATGATAATGTAATATTTTACCATTAGTTTACCATTAGTTTACCATTGTCTTGTCTATAATTCTCCCACAGACATTTATATTGCTATATAAATAATCAATATAGGAAACCTCCAGAACAAACTTCATTAGGTACATAAGATAAGTCAGTAATGGGATGTTTGTTAAAACAGGTAAAATAGTTTCACATTCTCACCAGTTGCAGTTTCTCTTTTATCACAGGAAGTGTTGCGCCACGTGAGGTGCAGTACTCCTTACTGTCATCCCAGCTCTTTGTATCAGTGGAAAAGTAATAACAGTTCCCTCCAAAACCTATCCAGTCTTCCGGACACTGCCTAACCTTTGGAGAGAGTGTTCCTGGGAGACATAAGGCAAACAACATAGTCACATTCTAAGACATGTTATATTCTCCTTAGCTATCATATTACAGGCTGCTGAGATAGAGCAGAACAGCTGAATATCACTAAACCTTAGTCTGAGTATCATTGAAATTCCAGCTGAAGTTTTAGAGTGCCAGTTGTTCTGGACAAACTAAATTGGAATAGGTACCTAGTGCAACCAACCTACCTTTGTCTTGCAATTTCAAAAGGACACAATATTCTTCACTAGGGGCTCTGCTACCCCAGTGATAAGGTGTGCTAAGAAAACCATAAAAAGATAGACCCACTTTCTGTCCCAAATTTTCTGCAATGTTGCTGTGTATTGTTAAACAGCTGCCACATACTACTTACAGCGATAGCTGCATTTCCCTGGTGGGAGAAGTGATTCCTCTCTCTATAGGCTGTAAAGCACTAGTTTGTGATAGCTTCAAAAATCCAGATAGGACATTGTCTTCACAGGGAGTTATTCCAAAATAGCTATTCCTGATTCACTCCATGTGTGGATGTTCTTATTCCAGAATAAGAGTGCCTAATTTTTCAGAATACTTAGATTTTTTTTTAAATAAATAGTGCTTTATATGTTCAAAGCACTGTGCATATATTAATTAATCTTCACAACCCTAGGCAGGTGGGCGAATATTATCTCCATTTTGTAGATAGGGAAATTGAGACAGAAGGGCAAGTCATTTTCCCTAAGGCCAGAAGACAGCAAGTCAGTGGCATAGTGCTCCCTCTTCTCCTTCTGAAGCTAGTAGCAGTGCTGCTCTCTGCTGGCAGTTAAGTGACAGTCATTCCCTCTGTGCTGCACACAGGATGCAGAAAGAACAAAATGCTGCATTTGACAACCTGGAGCTGCAACTAAGTCTTGACTTGTGTCCTCACAGACTAAAGGAGAAGGAAAGCAGCTTTTCGTTTTCCTCTGAACACAACATTTGCAGTAGAGGAGGAGGAGGGAGCATGGGGTGAGGAAGAAGGGACAGGAATGGAGGGAAAAAGGACAGGAAAAACTCGTTAAAGATGACATGCAAAGAAAAGGGTGGGGAAGTTGTCTTTAGTTTCTTATGACATATAAAAATCTAGAAAAAAAAACATTTTTTAAAGTTATTCCTCTGGCAATGTATCTTATGCCTAGAGTTCACAGTGTTTTCCTGAGAAGGCAAGATCTGAAGTTTTAATTTAAAAAAACAAACAAGCAGAACAAACCCCTTTATTTAAAAATAATCTCATAGTCCTTCTCTATAAATCATAATGCAGCAGGGAATAAAGTGCCCATACCCCTTATTTTAATTTTGCAGTTTACCTCTAAAGCTAGAAGGGGGGAAAAAATGAAGAAGCACGGTGGAGAGTAAAGAGTAACGTGAGAGAGAAAGAAAGTAGCTAATGAAAGGAAAGAAAAGAAACAGTGATACAAAAGAAAGCATCAGATGGGACAGAAAAGTGAATACACTGAAAAAAATGAAGCAAGAGACAGGGACCAAATTCCGATCTCAGGCCTTGGCTACACACGGGACTTCACAGTACTGCCACGGCAGCGCTGTGAAGCGCGAGTGTAGTCGCGGCGCCAGTGCTGCGAGAGAGCTCTCACAGCGCTGTATGTACTCCACCTCTCTGAGGGGAATAGCTTGCAGCGCTGCGAGTGAGCTTGCAGTGCTGCAGGCTCGGATTACACTGGTGCTTTACAACGCTGTACTCACTGTGCTCAGGGGTGTGTTTTTTCACACCCCTGAGCACAGCAAGTTGTAGCGCTGTACACCACCAGGTGTAGCCAAGGCCATAGTCATACCCACATACACCCACTGCAATTCCCAGTTGCTTTCATGTAGCATAATGCTTTGGTTACCAGCTCTGATAATTTGACATAGCAGCTACTAAAATTAGTTCAGAATTGAGAACTAGGAAGAAAAGGGATTATATTAATGAATCGTGTGATTTAAAGGCTTGTATCTACAGTGATGGCACACAACATTGGTTTCCGGCTTTCCATTAGCATATGTGTTTATATAGTACAGCTACTCAGCTGGAGAATATTGCGCTTCGGGGTGGTTAAGCTCTCCCTGCACAACGCTAGTTAATGTGCAATTGAATCAGACAATGAGAACCAAAAAAGGGCTATGAGACCAACCAGTACAGAGTGGCTGCCAGTCCTTTCAAATATTCCATCACCTAATTCAGGCATTATATTGCAGCAAAACCCCTCTTTGACACCACAACTGCCACTTTTCAAAGATATGTGGGAGGCACCTTGTCACAACTCATCAGCAGAACACTAATCTGTACTACTTTATCAACCATCTCCCCAGCAGATGCTATCACACTGTGGTGAGCAGAATGGGAATAAGGCCTTGGCTACACTTGCGAGTTACAGCGCTGTAATGCCACCCCCAGCGCTGTAACTCACTCTCCGTCCACACTGGCAAGGCATTTGCAGCGCTGTATCTCTGTGGCTGCAGCGCTGCATGTACTCCACATCCCCCGAGAGGAATAGCGTGTATTGCGCTGCAACTGCAGCGCTGTGGCGCCAGTGTGGCTGCCCAATGCGCTGTGACTAGCCTCCAGAAGTATTCGGCAGTATCCCACAATGCCTGTTCTAGCCACTCTGGTCAGCAGTTCAAACTCTACTGCCCTGGCCTCAGGTGGCCAACCATGTGACCCACCCTTTACATTCCCCGGGAATTTTAAAAATCCCCTTCCTGTTTGCTCAGCCCGGCATGGCATGGAGTGCTATCAGTGAATCTTTCCAGGTGAACATGTCTCCACGCGCCAAGCGAGCCCCAGCATGGAGCAATGGCGAGTTGCTGGACCTCATCAGTGTTTGGGGGGAGGAAGCTGTACAGTCCCAGCTGCGCTCCAGCCGTAGGAATTACGATACCTTCGGAAAGGTATCAAAGGACATGATGGAAAGGGGCCATGACCGGGATGCTTTGCAGTGCAGGATTAAAGTGAAGGAGCTGCAGAGTGCCTACCGCAAAGCCCGCGATGCAAACGGCTGCTCGGGTGCTCCCCCCGCGACCTGCCGATTCTACAAAGAGCTGGATGCAATACTTGGGGTTAACTGTTCAGTGTAGGTGCCCCCTGAAGCTGTTGGCTCTCCCCAAGGCACAGAGACCCAGAGGACAGTGCAGCCCTGAAACAATCAGTCCCCCTTACTCACCATTTTGAGGCTCCCGTGGGATGTGTGTGCTCTGTTTCAGACGGGAAAATTATGCAATTGTGTAGACCCTGTGTGTTTTCT